ATATTAGCTAAAAGCCCAAGATGTCCTTTTCCACTGAGTTAGAATGGGCTATGGATCCCCGAGGTGAGATCATGACTCTAAACTATGAGCCCTTCAAACTGTAGCACCCTCCTCCACAAACTGTCTGTATCAGTCGGCTCAGGCTGCGGTAACAAAATACCACAGATTGGGTAGTTTAAAAAACAGACACTTGTTTTCTCACACTTCTGGAGATGAGAAGATCAAGATCTTGATCTAAGATCATAGTTCTGGCTGCTTGGGTTTCTGGTGAGAGCTCTTCTCTCTTGGCTTACAGATGGCTGCCTTCTTGCCATGTCTTCCTTTGTCATTTCCTTGGCATGTACAAGCAAAGACAGAGAAGGGGGTGGGTGGGGTGAGTCTGGTGGGTGGCAGAGAGCTCTCTGGTGTCTCTTCATAAAAGGACGCCAATCCCGTTAGATCAGGGTCCCACCATTCTGACCCCATTTAACATTAATTACTTCTGTACTCCACGTACGGCCACACTGGAGGTTAGACCTTCAACATACAAATTTTGAGGGACACCAACAGTCAGTCCATGCCACCACCAAATAGCTCTGTCCCCCACGCTGGCTGAGTCTCAGCTGGCGGGACACGAGGAGAAGCAGGGGTGTGGATGAGTTGCAAGCCTCACTCCCTCGTCTGCTCATCCTGGTGCTTCCGTAGCAGCGGCACCCCTGAGCTGGGGTTTGATCCTGCCCTCCTGCCATCTGTGGCCACTGCCCTCTCAAGTTCCCACACAAGGGTTACTCGACAAGGAGCAGTTCAGATGGTTACGGATCTATATAGAAAGTTCAGCTCAGCACCTTTACTCTGCAAGCCTTTGCTGAGCATATTAACCTGTTTCTCTGACCCTCAGCCAGTGTAATTATCAAAAAGACTTTCCAGGGTCAAAAGCCAGCAGACTGAGGCTGGGCCACCTGCTAATAGAGCAGGCCACTCATGGCGGTGGGCGGCCCGCTGCTTCCGAATGATTTACCCAAACAGAAGGAGAAAGAAAAAGGAGCTAACGAAAACTCAAAAGAGGAAAACCTCCTAAGAAGCCTCCTTTAGGTTGCCTTGTCTCTTTTTATTTCCGAAGCGTGTTATACTACTAGGTACTCTAGGTAATCCAGTTTTTCCCTTCGGTACCTGGTTCATATTTTCTGTGAACAAGAGTGTCACACACAGTCTCCTAATCGACCAAATAGCAGAGCAATTCAGAAGAGCTTGAGGTCAAAGCTCCCCCAGGTGACGCGTCCATGCTGAGGGGATACTAAGTAATCTGCTGGGAGGGTGAGGAATCTTGGGAGCTTCAATTTATATTTGCTCTTAAAATCTTGTTCTTTAATTTCTGTTTTGTGTGTGTTTTATCATGTAGTTGATATTCTTTTCCAGTTGATTCTATGAGCTGGACTAATGGATCAACCCCATATTCCTGGTGGTTTAACACAATGGAAGTGTGTGTCCTGGTCACGTAGGGTCCTGTGTGGAGTTCCTGGTGGAGCGGCCTTCCACATGGCCATTTAGAGGCCTACACTCTGTCCATCTAAAGGGTCTGTCCCCATCCATGTCCTTAGAGCTCTCCCCACTCAGCCAGTGTGTGGGGGAAGGGAGCTTGGCACACCTGCTTCTTGACCATTTGGCTCAGAGGTGACATATTTTACTTTCTCTTTCCATTGGCAGGAAATGGCCCTGCCCAAATCCAGGACAGCCGGGCATCAGGTCCCTGGGTGTGCAACACCAACTTCACGCCATCTTTGTGGCCAGCTAACTACCTCTGCTACATACGGGAAGACGTGTGTCTGTTTGTTGCTTTTTAATGGGGTTATGCAACCATGAGAACTATATAGTCAACAAAATTTGGAGACCCGTGTTTTAGGAATTGCTCAATTTGGCTGTCAGGCCTCAATTTGGTTCTTTTTTCCAAAATGAGGTGAACTGAGCAATACAGTTCATGACTGAGACAGGAGCTAATGGTACTTAGTTCAGGACTGTACTCACTGCCCCTGGCCTTTGGGTCCAGTGGGACTCTGGAGTGGCCACGAGTTTGGGACCCCACAGCTAGGCTCCCTCGGAGTTGGGCATGAACCCAAAATGACTCAATCTCCATAGGCTTCTTCAGGTCATCCTTTCTGGTGACCAGCTCCTTCCGGTTGGTCTGGCACTTTCCTACTCAAAGTTCTGTGTCCCAGGAAACCCTCAGGTTTGGGCAAACTGAGACAATGTATCTGGGACCATCCTGGTTATGAAATTCAAAGTCCCATGTTCTGAAATCCCGCTCAGTCTAGGGCAAACTAGGAGGATTGGTCACCCTACTGTCTTCCTAACAGACTTTTCCTGTCATTGCCCCTGGGTAGACTTTGAGCCATATGGTGACTCTCCCTATAACAAAGGAAAAGCTTCTCCCCCAGTCATTTTATGGGAAGCTTAAATATCAAAAGAGCACAGGTTTTTTGAGCAAAGAGGGCTCTAACCAGGGACGAGTAGACAGACATGTTTCCCTCGGTGTGGGCAGGCGGGAAAGGGGACAGTCCCTCAGTGGCCATAATGGGCTACCTCCGTCCCTTCCCACATGAAGGGAAATGGGCACAGCTTCTTCCAGCTGTTTTCTGTTGCATTTGGAGACTTTGCCTGAGGATCACCTAGTGTAAGACAACAGAATATATCTGCTTTCGTGTCCAAAAGAGACCAGGAATTATTTCCAGTTTAGTTTTCTTGTCAGCGTAACTATAATTAGTCACCGATAGGATTGTTAAGAACACAGTTTCCGAACTTTGTCCCCTTGAGTTAAACAGTGTTTGTGGACACCTCGCTGTGAACGTGCTATCTTGGGACACATCCAGGCACGAACTACTTAACTGTGGTGGCAGAAAGACCTGGTCGCATGCCGGGTTGGGGTGGTGCAGGAAGAACAGGTAGAACAGGACGCAAGGTGTGTCAGCCAAGCAGGGCCTGGTATTCTCAGTAGGCAGCTACAAGGAAGACCATCGCCATATAGCTGGGCTCATGGCTGGCCGTCAGGAGAATTATTTTCAATCTCTGATACATGATATTAAGACAGGGACAGAGCCTCCTTTCAGAGGGACTAGGGCTTAAGGCAGGGCAGCCCAAGTGGGGCCCAGAGGAGCAATGGATAATGAGCATCACTAGGACCTGAGGCCAGGGTGACACCAACAGTGACTAACTGCCTGGAGGGGACAAAGGGACTCGTTTCTTGGGAGCAGAACTGCCCAGATACTCCAGGCTCTGCCCTCAGAGAGCCCAAATGCAGTTGCAGTCACACCCTTGCTGGAATCTCAATGGCTCCTAAGCAGCCCTGCTCACCCAGGACCTCAGCACCCCCTCCCCCTATCTTCTGGGCCACTTCCTGGAGCCTCAAGGGAGGTGAGGGACACAGCCCCTGCTGGCAAGCCCTTGTAGGGAGGGATCGTCCCGCTGTCCTGCTAGAGTCCTTCCCCAAAATCCCGTGGATGCAAGCCCCATTAGCTTTCAGAGCTAGGGGTTCTGAGGGCCCAGCCCTCAAGCAGGAGTCTTAAAAGCTGGCGGGCTATCTGTGGGGTCCTCGGGGAGAAGCTGCTGGTATGGCGTTGTGCTGGGGGGTGGTGCCTGGCAAGCGTGTGTCTCAGCCTTGCCCACCTGTTTCAGCGTGGGTAACTTCTCCTTGTCTCCACTGTAGGAGTCACTCAGCTGGCTTTTGGGTTTCCTTCAGAGGGAATCGATCTGTGAGTGTGGATGTACAATCAGGGTATCCGTGGGAGGAGGGAAGTTCCAGAACCCCCTATGTTGCCATCTTGGTGGCCAAAGCAAAATAAAAGGAAATAAAGCCCCTCATGGTGACCTCGGCTAGAAGATACAGGTCTTCAAGAACAGGTATCAACTATTTCTGGGCCAATTGTCTCATAACATTAGGTACAGAAACTTCAAGGAAGAATGTGGAATCATTTTGGATTCTCTACACTATGCCAGTCCCACTAGGGTCAACTCAAGGCATCACAAATGACAGTAGAGTTCTTTCTGGTTGTGATAGTGTCAGCAAGAAGCACAGCCAACCTAACCGAGATCCCTTGGGGGTGCAGCATGGGAAGGATGAATATAATTCATCTTTTTTTTCTCTTTGCTAGGTGCAGATGAATTATAGTTCTCAGAGAACTGTTCCTTTTTGCTTAAAATAGTATCAGATTTTCTGTCCAAGTTTTCTATGAATAGAGGCAATTTGACTTGATGTTGGGACAGGGCTTTGGAATTTGGTGGTGACACAGTACCTTTGATTCTCTGCAAGGCATGGGTCAGCTTGTGCTGTCGGGACTTATTTTTTCCCTCCATAAAATGGGAATGAAGAATACTCCATTCAGGAGATTGTAGGGGAATTATTTAAGAGTGTTTTTTAACTGCTGGGTAACTCAAGTGGAAGGCAATGAGTATGTAAGAATTTTTGGGAAGAGATCTGATAAATATAAATTGTGTTATTTTCTGGGTTCTTTAGAAAAGATGTGGAATGAATTTTGGGTTTAGAATCAGAACCATCTTAAGGTCTGTCTTTTGGAAAAGAGCTAAAATTCATTCCTACTACTGGCAGCTTACCTGTAGGAAGGTGATTCTTGGCTCGGATCTGAGGTTTTAACAGTGTTTGAGTCTTACCTTGGAAAACTCATTTGACATGAAAAGACATCTAAATTTTTATGTAATTCTTATATTATTTTTATAAGAAGAAATTAGACATTTACCTCCAGATGAAAGCATAATGTTTTCAGGTTGAGTTTTCTCATAAAATAACCCATGTCTGAGGCATCTGGGGGGCTCAGCTGGCTAAGCATCTGCCTTTAGCTCAGGTCACGATCCCGGGGTCCTGGGATCCAGCCCTGCATCTGGCTCCTCGCTCAGCAGGGAGCCTGCTTCTCCCTCTCCTCCCTGGTGGTGCTATCTCTTTCTCTGAAATAAATAAGTAAAATCTTAAAAAAAAAAAAATGACCAGTGTCTTTATTTTTTTTTTTTTCCTGCAGACAAAACTGTGTGGAGTTTTACCCCATATTTCTGATTACGTTGTGGATGCTGGATGGTATTTCAATCAAGGTAATTTTAAAATAGGATCAACTCTGTTCTAATGATGACTGTGGTTCTTAGAACCATTAAGGAACGGATGTGCCACCAAACATCAACTGATTCCGGAAATTGTTTTAAACAAAATAATCCATGTCTCTGTGCATCAAAGAGCGCCGCTCTGCAGATAAGCTAACTTTGGCTTCATTTCAGTTTAACTCGGTAAAACAAATAACAAAAACAAAACAGAATGAAAAAACCAACTTGGAGCAAACCGCATGCTGGGCATTCCCAAATGAAAATGACATGATCTTGGTCTTCAACTCGGATTCCTTAATTCCAGTTTCTCTGCAAGAGTTCACCCTAATGATCATAGCTGTTATTTACTGAGCACTCACTACGTGCCAGGTACTGTTTTACATCTTCAAACCCATCCCATGGACAGGATAGATAGGATTGAAACCTTCCTATGAGGTAGGTTCTGTAACTGATGCCTACTCTACAGATGAGGAAACAAACCCACAGCTTACGTAGTTTGCTCAACTTAACATTCATCAGTGTGGGAGAAAACTGGCTTTCAAGTACAGGCAGGGTCTGTAGGTATTTTCTCAATAACACGTGCACCCTTGAGTTCACAAGGCTGTCGTGTTCCTGTGTGTAGCCGCTCTGCAAACATCTGGAAATATCCTTGGCGAGCTGAAGCCTTAACCCAAATCTGCCTGTTTCTGTAACGGGGTCAGAGCAGCACCGGCTATCTGAGTTGGAGAAATTCAAACTCTTTGGCTTTATGGTAACTTTCATCATCTCATTTGGGTCTGACACTTGATGGCTAAGATTTCACTAAACCCCAATCCAGTGGCTTTCAAAGGCAACCTCCTTCACTGTCTTCTTGTAATTTTTGCTGTCAACTGAGGAATTTCAGATAAAATGTCCTTCAGAGAGAGAGAGACTTCTTAACTCTATTCCAACTCACGTTTTTGTCCCCTGAGGGCATGAATGAAGGCGGTTGTTCCTTGTCAGGTAAGACTGCATTAACAACTAATAAGAAACCTGCCTTTGATAATGGGGCTCAGTCTCTGCTATTTGACCCTTTGGATGTCACTGTAACGGGCTGAATGAAGCCCACTATCAGAAAAGGATTTTCTGTCATAGTTTTGTTCTTCCTCATGAAAACTTAAGTTGCCTGTTAATTGCCTGGAATAGTTCTCAGTGGCTTCGAGGGAATTAAGTCATTAGATGGGGGGGTTTGGTGGGGAGGCTTCAGAACTGCAGTCTGCCTCAGGATCTCTCCACTTCCTCCCTCACATGCCAGCTGCCCCCCGACCCCCGCCATCTCATCTCTTCGCTTGGCCCCCTTCTTCTCACCCGCAGGTCCCAGGCACGCGTCCTCCCCTCAGGAGGCCTTCCCTGACCCCTTTCTAAGGGATGCCTCCTCTGCCCGCACTGTTCCATCCCTCCTGCTTCATTTCCTTCCCTGTACTTTCAGTTCTGTGATGTTCTTCTAAGTTTTCTCCTTGTTGGCTGTCTTTGCTGATAAACTCTGTAAAGGTAGGGAGCTTGTATCTATTTCACTGCTGACCCCAATCCTTAGACTCTGCTTGGTGTAGAGTAGAAACTAAAGAAAATGTTTGTGATCTAATAAAATAAGGAATTTAATTTTATTCAGGATTTCAGAGCCCCAAAGATAGACTCCAAGTGTGTGCCAGAGGGCTCTCTCAATTTGCATCCATTGGGTGCTGAGGAAGAGAGAGGGTCCCTGATGGTAGAGAAAATATTGGTATTTTTTTGTGGGACAAGATGACAGAAGATCATGCTACACTTTACATTTCTTTGAGGTAAAATTTACACACTGTATAGTGAAAGGCAGAGATCATACGTGGTCCATTCCATGAGTTTTAACAAGTATGTGCCCATCAGATGCAGGACATGACTTCCCCTCAAAATTTTTCTTTTTTTGAAAGATTCTATCTATCTATCTGTCTATCTATCTATCTATCTGCAAGAGAGAAGGAGGAGAAGCAGAGGGAGAGGAACAAGCAGACTCCATGCTGAGCATAGAGCCCAGTGTGGGGCTTGATCTTACAACCCTGGGAGTATTACATGAGCTGATACCAAGAGGTATCATTTTACTGACTGAGGCATCCAGGTGTCCCTAGAAAGTTTTCTTCTGCCCCTCCTCGTCAGGCACTTTCAGAAGCAAACACCATTCTGGTCTTTTTCATCATAGTTCAGTTCTGCCCATTCTAGAACTTGCCATCGTGGGAACGATACAGTGTTTACTCTTGTGCTGTGCTTCATTCACTCAGAAAAATGTTGAGACTCACCATGTTGTTGCAAGTATCCGTGTGTTTTTGTTGCTGCGTGGTATTCTGTAGTATGATTATCTCAGTTCGGTTATCCATTCTCCTGTTGGTAGGTTTCTGGGCTCTTTCCTGTTTTTTACTATTATGAATAAAGCTGCAATAAACATTCTGCACAAGTCTTTTTATGGACATGTACTTTCATTTCTTTGGGGGTAAATATATAGGAATGGAATTGTTGGGTAAAAAGTATGACCCAAAAGTTGGGTCATAAGAAACTACCAGAACTTTTCCCAAAGTGGCTGTACTATTTTGCATTCCCACCAATAATGTTTGAGGATACCAATACCGCCAACATTTTGTGTTGTTGGTCTGTTTAAATTTTAGCCATTGCAGTGGGTTTGCAGTGGTATTCTGTCCTTGTGGTTTTAAGATGCAGTTTGCTGATACTGAATGATGTCGAATAATGTTGAAAAAAAATTCTCATGTGCTTATTGGTACATTTGCTTGTCTTCCTGTATGAATTGTCTATTCAAATATTTTGCCCATTAAAAAAATTAAGTTGTTGGGCGCCTGGGTGGCTCAGTGGGTTAAGCCTCTGCCTTCAGCTCAGGTCATGATCTCAGGGTCCTGGGATCGAGGCCCGCATCGGGCTCTCTGCTCAGCAGGGAGCCTGCTTTCTCCTCTCTCTCTCTATGCCTGCCTCTCTACATACTTGTGATCTCTCTCTCTCTGTTTCAAATAAATAAATAAAATCTTTAAAAAAAAATTAAGTTGTTTTTGACAGAGCTATTTGTGCATTCTGTACATGTACACATTTTGTGAGCATTTTCTCAGTTGTCATACCACGTTTTGAGAGACCGCCATCACATTCCGTATCTTCTCTGTTTTCTCTCTGTAGTTTTTGCTACTTGTCTGTGTCTGGTGTACATATATGCCCGTCACCAGTATTTCTGGGGGTATTCGGAAGCAGCTAAAAAAAGGTAAGGAGAAACTACGAACTGGGTGACACTTAGGAAAAGAGTGGCTGGATGGCATCCGAATTAGCTGTGCATTCCTGAGGTTATTAAGAGCCCCGATGGTCGTGGTTGCACGAGTGATCTGAGTGGCCCGAGACCCTTCTTCCCAGGCCTTGCATAACTAGGGGTGAGACGGGAACACCAAGTACAAACTTGGCACTCAGTGTGCGCTCGCAGCCGCCACACTTGAAATCCTTGCAAGGATTGCGCACGATCTCCAAAAAGTTGCAAAGGAAACAATCCTGCCCAGGCGTGACCATCCTTTGAGTGTGCAAAGGAGTCAACCTCTGTGGCTAGGTATCCCCTTAAATTCATGTGATGAATCCAAATTTTCAAATGGCGAAAGCGTTTGAAGTTCTGGGAGGTGCCAGCGGTGAGCAGCCTACCCCAGAACGCCTCCCTTCATCGCTGCACTGGTTACCATGTCTCTGCCTCGTGTCTGTCCTGTAGGATCACCGGTTTCCGGCTGAGTCTGGGGAGTCTGGCTCTGCTGATAGTCCTAGGCGCCCTGGGGATTGCAAAGAGCTTTCTGGATGAGTACCTGGACCTCAATGTCGCCAAGAAACTGAGACCCTTCTGATGTCCTCCCCTCCCTTTGCCCAAATGTTTGCAGAAGCTATTTCTACCCTGAAGGTCATGTGGGGTCAATGGATCAATTATTAAAAAGAGAAGTCTTTATTTTGTTTTTCCTGAAATGGCTTTGTAGGAACATACCTGTTAGAGAATGCATTTCCTGTTTAAGAATTAAAGTCCACCGTGACAGTGTACAGCCATATCCTCAGTGGAAGGTGCACGGGCTCTGGTTCTTGAGGTGCATGCTGAAGCCACCGCTGCTTATGTGGGAGAAAGCAGCCTGACCGCGTGCCGGGTTTTCTGTGGGGCCGTTGTCCCCCCACCGATAATGGTCCCACTACTCCTGTCCCACTACTATGTTCCAGAGAGATGCTAAACAGGCCGCCATGCTCACTTTATGGGTTGTAGGAGAGCAACAGCTGGCTGTACGTGGGGAAGTTGGGCAAACACATAAAGTCGCCAGAGAAGACAGTCATCAACTAATAGCACAAAACAAATCTGGGGGCGAAATTTCCCTTTTTAAAGAAAAAGGGAAAAAGGGGTGTGGGGAAAGGCCTTTTTTTTTTTTTTAAGATTTTATTTATTTATTTGACAGAGAGATTACAAATAGACAGAGAGGCAGGCGGAGAGAGAGAGGGAAGCAGGCTCCCTGCTGAGCAGAGATCCCGATGTGGGACTCGATCCCAGGACCCTGAGATCATGACCTGAGCTGAAGGCAGAGGCTTAACCCACTGAGCCACCCAGGCACCCCTACTTTCTTCATCTGTAGGATGGGAATGAGTTCACCTCACAGTCTTCAGGGACTTCAGGAGAATGGAATTATGAGCCCATATAACACATTTTAACATCAGGAAAAGGGCTCTGTCAGTTTTTCTAGAGAAATCTGGACAGTGTCGAGTCTGTCATGGGCATCTTCAAGAAGCTGTTGATTGGGACTTTTCTTTTTTGTGGGTGGATACAAAGGAAGTTTTAAAAGACTATGCATAATAGGAAAAGAGATAAAGGCATTGAAAAAGTAGTGTTTCCAGAATAGTGGGGAAGAGATGACAACCCTGGGTCCCAAATGACAGTACTAAATATTTGCAAATACCCTGAGAATGCAGTGGTCTGAAAATGGAGCTATCAAGATCCTCCTCACGGGCTGTTTGCCTTTGAATAAGGCCCCTCACCCATAGGGGGTGGCTAGCGAGGCAGTGAAGACCAGAGCCGGCCAACACCAATCCTGTTGGAGCCCATGCTGGGCCCGCTACCGAAGTTCCGTGTGGCTCTTTGCCTCCATTTTCCTTGGGTAAAATGGGGCTATTCCTCACTGTAAAATGCTGTGTTTCTATGGCCTTTTTACTTTTTAGTATTCTGATCAGTTATGATGGCTTGTATTGTGACATTTGATTGTTTTACACATTGAAGACAATAAAGAAGAAAGAAAGCAAATTTTTGACCCCAAAGAACAGTTACTGCATAATCATATCCTTTGGAAGTGGGGAAAAGAACACACGACTTTCTCAATCTGGCACTTGAGCATTTATAAACAATTTCTTTTTTTTTTTTTTAAAGATTTTACTTATTTATTTGACAGAGAGAGATCACAGGTAGGCAGAGAGGCAGGCAGAGAGAGAGGAGGAAGCAGGCTCCCCACTGAGCAGAGAGCCCAACGCAGGGCTCGATCTCAGGACCCTGGGATAATGACCTGAGCCAAAGGCAGAGGCTTTAACCCACTGAGCCACCCAGGTGCCTAAACAATTTCTATGTTGCATCTAAATTGGAGCTATTTTAAAAAGTAAATTACAGGGGTGCCTGGGTGGTTCAGTCGTTAAGCATCTGCCTTCCTTTGTCTTCTGCTCCAGTCATGATCCCAGGGTCTTGGGATCGAGTCCTGCATCAGGCTTCCTGCTCAGCGGGGAGCCTTTCTCTCTCCCTCTGCCTGCCACTCTCCCTGCTTGTGCTCTCTGTCAAATAAATAAATAAAACCTTAAAAAAAAAGTAAACTACAAATACACAGAATTTGGTTAAAAACTTGTGGAGAAAGAAGATGGGTACACCAGGCTATCAGAGCTTTGTATCTTTAAACATCTGAACCATAAAATTTATTTCCTTTGTTCTAATTCTATTGTTACCAAGGCAACCTCTTGATCATTTTAATTCCTATAAATTTGGCTACAAGGAGGAAACATGCTGGCCAGAGAGATGTGAGTTTCTGATCTGTTTGAGAATTATAGATGTATATGATTTGTATACTAATCAGTTGATGGGTTTTATTTTTAGAAATCAGATTCATTGTCTCAAAAAAATGTTATGAAAAAAGGGACAGGAAACTATTCTCTATTAAAAGAGTCTTAAGAGGCATAAAAACCAAATGGCGATATGGGGTCCTTGATCAAATCCTGGTTGGAAAAAAAAAAAAAACCAGTCACGGAAGACATGTGGGAGACAACTGGGACAATCTGAACATAAAGTAAGAATTAGGTTGTATTAGGGAATTCATGTTAATTGTGTGAGGCGCGGTAATGATCTTCTGGTGAGAGGAGAGAATGTGCTAATTCTCGGGAGCTGCATGTTGAGAGGTTGAGGGGTGAAGGAACCAAATGGGGACAACTGATCTGGAGTTGTTCTGCGATGTAATCACGGAAGGCATACATGACACAGTGCTAATAGTTACTAAATTGAGGCAAGTGTGCAGTTACTCATCGGATCGTCTACTTTTCTGTTTGATAGGGTTCATAATGAAAAGTTCAAAAATCATTTCTAAGAAGTTAAAAACCCAAAATCATATTCTTGGTAGCTGTGAATTTTTTTTTTTTTTTAAGATTTTCTTTTTCTTAATTGAGCACTCTATGCTTGCGGTGGGATCTGTGGGATCGATAGAGCCACAGCAGTAGTGGTGGCCCAGCAGCTGTCCTGGACACGGCAGGGACGCCAGGGCCTCCCTTGTGCGGATGCTGCCATAATTGCCTCCACCTGTTGCTTGAAATCAGACAAGTCGCGGTGGCTCGCCCATAAGACACCGGTGTGGGAATCAAATGTCATCGGAATTGGGAAAGAGACTAGAGGACAAAACAGAGAAGAGAAGATGGGGAAAAAAAAAAAAACAACAATGAAAAAATAAAACAACAGAGCCTGATTTTACAATCAAGTAGCTTTGTTCCCTTTCTGGGCATTTCCTCTCCCTGACTTGCCTTTGCTGGGTTGGAGGTGGGCGCGGCGTTAATAAGGAAAAATACCAGCTCATTTGTTTTATCACCTCTTGACTCCAGACACAGTTTTCCTTGAAAAGAACGGTCACAGGCAGAGATAGCTCATCTGGTGCTTCTGAAAGCTCCTTTAGGCAATAAAATGCATCTTTCTCACTGGGACAAGCGTGGTGTGAATTTCCAGATAGATGTTTACTCTCTGCCTCTCCCCTCATCGCACACTTACTGCACTGGGATTTTAAAAAATGTCGGTGAGATACATATAGGAAATCCTTCCGAAGGAGAAGGGGATGGCGTTCATCCTGTGCAGGACACACTTTGGTGTCAATGAAAATGCGTGCTTTTAATTAGTCCGGGCTTAGGAATACTCAACTCTTCTCGGAGCTTCAAGTTTTTGTTTATCAGACTACCCTCCCCGCCCCCATCAGTTCATTCTTCCAGTTCCTGTCATCTGGTAGAGTACTAAGCCCTTATCAGTAGGACAAAGCCCCAGGTCACACTGTTCTCTCCACGCCGTTATTCGGCAGCCGCTCTGGAACCATCGTCCCCCAGGAGTAGGACTGGCCTCTCCCACAGTCAAATGCATTCTTCCTCTTGGTTGGTATGTATTAAAACTCACCTTTGTTTTGGATCTGTTTTTGATGATGATTTTATTCTGTGCTTATGGGGTTTTTCTGCTTAACCCAGATAGTTTTGAATGGTGGTGTTTTACTGTGCCTTTTCAACTTTGATGGAAAGCCTTAGGTCAAGTCTCCTAGAAGGGGAGGGGTTTCACATGGGTGTGATTCACATGTGTGTGATTCGTTAGCGAAGGCCCCCCAGGAGGGTAATCAGAACAGAGGGGGGAAGGGTGAGAAGCCAAGTAAGGACAACTTCAGGCAAAGTCTCAGCCTCTGCCTGGTCCCACAGGGGAGCTCTAGAACATAAATCCTACCTCAGGCCTTGTCCAGGCCACCCGACTGCGTTCTCACATTCTTGCACTAGTGAGTCACTGACTACCGTGGATCTGAAGAAATGTAAACTTCTAATCATTTCCAACAGTTTGTGGATGGTGCAGGCCAAGAGAGATGCAGCAAGGGCTAGAAGTGAGGTGTCTATGGGTTGTGTGTGTATGTGTGTGTGTGTGTGTGTGTGTGTGTGGACAGTGTCTGCTACAGTGGGGCGAGACCCTTGTGTTACTTTCCCTTCCCTATATTCCTTGAGGGTTCTTTCTTTTTTTTTTAAAGTGAAAATTTTACTACCAATTTTCTAATGAGCCAGTTGGAAATTGAAAGTACTGAATCTAGGGGTGCCTGGGTGGCTCAGTGGGTTAAGCCTCTGCCTTCGGCCCGGGTCATGGTCTTGGGGTCCTGGGATCGAGCCCCGCGTTGGGCTCTTTGCTTGGCGGGGAGCCTGCTTCCCCCTCTCTCTCTGCCTGCCTCTGCCTACTTGTGTACTCTCTCTCTCTGTGTCAAATAAATAAAATCTTAAAAAAAAAAAAAGTACTGAATCTACAAATGGACTTCAGTATGTTCCTTTCATAGCTTTCTTCTCTTCTGTTTGCTACATCCATTGGGATGCAAATTTACAAAGTTTTAGTTGTGTGGTTGAATTAAAAAGACTGGGAATGATTGACTGATGTTCTCTGTTAAATAAATGTTTAATGATATCACGAATTTTGAGACAGGAACTGCAGTTAATCAATTAAAACCCAGGCATAGTATATCCGTTTAATTAAGGTTGGAGATCCAGTGACATTCCTAAAATAAACTATGCTTTGGGTTGATTCAGATAATGATCTTTTATTTGTTTTCTTTTCTTTAAAAGTGGTATGTCAACATCACTTCATTTCTACATTTCAGAGTTCTGTACATTTCTTAAAAGGAAATAAGCAATGCTCAATGTACAAAGTAAAAACAGAAAACTAGAAAAATCTGAATAAAATGGAGCAAGTTGCCATAGGTCATACAGTACAAATTAGTCATTAGATGTCATCTGAAGTGCAATATACCACTGCTGTGATGATGAGTTAAGGAATGAAATAAAAATACTCTATTTTAAACAAACAGTATATATATATTTATATGTATATTTTTTACAGATAGTAGACCCAGTGATATCTGCAGTATTGTAAAAACTTATTTACAAATAACTTTTTTAGACATTACATATACATCAGCACCGTAGTAAAAACAAAAACAAAAACAAAACCAAAACGAACTTATTAAAATCTACCTCTCTAGTTAGTTGGTCCCAGTACTAAGCATTTGGAGGAAGCTATTAAAAGGTAATGGAGCCCCCTTCTCCCCTCAGCCACCTCCAGTTTCTCATCATTGCTCATATATGTTTCCTGTACCTTTCAGAAAAAGGTAATTATGTTTTCTGTCTTCTTGCTTATTTTTTTATTTTCTTCGTTTGGTTTTTACCTGTTTCTACTCAAGAGTTTCCATGGTGGCGTCCCTCCCCCATGCAAGGAGTTCATGGTCACCTGCCACCAGGTCTTCCTAGGAGGAGCACAGCCCCTGCCTGGGCTCTTGCCCAGCTGGCCTCCTCTGGTCTCCATCCTGCCCCTTGCTCAGTAGATCCACCACCTTGGGACATGGCGAGCAAGCCAACGACAGCGTTTGCCTGCCTGTCACCTCTCTGCCCTCTGCCCCCAGCTTTCCTCTTGAACCCCCCAACCCCCCGTCTCAGGACCCGCCCTGTGCGTGCAGCCAGGCCAGCTCCCCACAGCCTGTGCCCATGCGTGGTCACACGGAGGGAGCCAGGCTTTTGGACACCGAGGGAGAGTGTGGCGCGAGAAAAGCACGCTCTGCTCTTCCTCCGGACGATATACCACGTGGCCTCCCAAATGGGGCAGTGGGAACAGCAGCAAGGACAAAAGACACAGCCTTATGGTAAGTAGCAGAGACTGTCATCCCTTCCCGCAGATGTCGCTTGGGGCAGATCTGAGTGAATTACAACGAGAACGACTGTACAGGACTTTGGAAGTGGATGACCTTGCCCATGTGGAAGGAACAGTGTCTTCCTTCTTTTTAATCATCAAAATGGGTCAGGTGGAGCAACGGACTCTTCAGTTCCTCATCTCTGAGCATTTTAGAGTCGTCTTTCTGGTGAGGAGGGATTAAGGGCAAGGCCAGTTTCAGAGCATCACCCCTGGGAGTTTTCTGAAGGGAGCCAGAGCCTGCGCTGTTTGGGCCACGTCTCCCAGGGTAGACCAGAAGCATCGGGGGTGGCTCACGGTAACCCGCCATGCAACGTCAGGGGGGCTGCTCAGTTTCAGGCAGAGAATATTCAGCCGATTACATGTTAGAGAAAGAAAACTCCAGTGTTGCCTTTGCATTTCAGGCGTTGTCTAAGTTCTTGCCTTTATTAGGATTCTGCCCAGGTCCCCTAAAGACAAAAGCTTCATTTCTTCTCATATAGTCTGTAAGGAGAAGCAAGGGCAGGATGGGGTGGAGGCAGGAAGGAGCAAGGGCAGGGGTGCGGGGAAAAGCGGCCACACAGGCAGACACAGCATCCAGTCGGGGTCTCCCCACCCTGTGGCCACCGGAAGTAGATGTGAACTGCCTAGCCAAATCAGTAGGACACCGGGCCCCCAGGAGGCTCCAGCCTGACTACCTGGAGTGCCGGCCGCCATCGTCATGGTCATGGTCCCTGGCAGAGGGCTGCCTCCCCCAGGACTGCCAGAGGACCCTTCTCCAGGCTCGCTTGGCTCTCTTTGAGAGGCAGCTGACAGCAACGCCTCTACAATTCCTGAGGATCATCACAGGACAGCAGACAGGCTCGTAGGATCCTCTGTTGTCTCCCGTTCTTCGTGCCTACCCGCCAAACACAGTAGCATGTCTTGACGCCTGACCTCTCTTTGTAGCCAGGGTTCAGCGCATTTCCGACCCGTGCTCTGGGCCTGTGCAACCACGCAGCAGCCTCTGCGGGACGCTCCCCGGGCCCCAAGGCTTTGCGGTCTCCGGCCCCCGGGGCCAGGAGGGGCTGGTGGAGCCCTCACGCTGGGCAGCAGTCCCGCGCGGCTGGAGCAGAGATCCCTGGGCCAGGCGAGCACCGGAGGGCCGAGCGGAGGGGCCTCGGATCCGTCTTCCCTGCCTGCCTCCGCGGTGTCTCCCTCTCTCAGCCAGGATCGGCGCCTGGTGTCTCGGTTGCTGTGTGAAAATCAGGTGAAATGAGGCCCAGCGGGGCTGTGGGTTGGCACCTGGATCTTTCACTGTCAGCCAGCTGCAGTTTTGCTCAGTTTGCGTGGGTCAAAAAAACAAAAAACAGGGATGGCTCAACATCCTGTTTCTTTTTCACGTTTTAAGCTTTCAACACTAGGAGTCGCGCCTCTCGGGTTTCCTTTGGACTAGGGGTTCCCGAACAACTCATCAAGCTCCTGCATCCACTCGTCCCCTGGGCCGCCTTTGATGATGGAGTCCACAAGGTCCGCACTGTCCGAGAGGCCGGGGAAGGAGGCCCCGCCTGCCTCGCCGCCGTAATTGTAGGACATGTCCTGAGGGGCGGTCCGCTCGTAGGCCTGGCTCTGGCCGCCCGGAGTGAAGTTGCTGCTGGGCATCTGCTGCTGGGCCGGGGGCTGGCTGAACGCCGGCAGGCTGGGGACGCCCTGGCTTAGGCCAGCCATGACCATCGGCCTGGCCTGGCCGCTGCCTTGCTGCCCTGGGAGTGGCGGCATCATCTGCCGGCCCATGGCAGCTGGGTTGAGGGTTCGCACGGCGCCAGTGTTAGCGTCCACGACCTGGCTCAGTCCCTGTGGGAAGTGTTGCTTGGTCAGCCTCGGCTGGCCGGCTTGAAGCGGGTAGCTGGCGCCGTTGCTGAATGATCCCAGTTCTCCACTAGTCCTCCCGGGCATGGCTGGTAAGCTCCTCTGTGGCCAGCTCTGCGCTCCCTGCTGGACTGTTCCCATAATGCCCTGCAGCCTTGGCGGGCCCTGGGGCCTTGGCAGGGCTTGGCTCACCGGCCCTTTCATCTGCTGGTGCTGCTGGGTAACGGCGGAGTTCACCAGCATGCTCTGACCGAAACCACTCACCATCCCAACCCCTTGCCCCGAGGTGGGCTGCCTTGGCCCCTGGGCTTGGTTGTGTGTGATGCTCATGCCACTTTGGTTTGGGTGCTGCAACATTTGGGTCATTCCTGTGCTCATATTGTACATTCCTGGTTGGCTGGTAGGCGTGTTGCTATAAGGGGCCAGTCCCATCTCTGACTGGGCTGCTGCCGTGGCCATTGTCCCTGGGTTCTGGGAGGGTCCCATTCCCATCATGCCTGCATTCTGTGCCATCAGCCGAGATGTTCGAATGCTCTGGAGGGCTGCTTGGCTTCTCACAGCTGCGATGTCCTGGGGAGAACCTACAGGGGAAGAAAAGACATTCCCATCCACTCATCTCGATAAGCAATTTACTGTAACATATTGTTGGGATTATCTTTAGGCATGACAAAATTCTTTTATATGAAAGGATCTACTCTGATCATAAATCCTTAACAAAAATGATTATTTTTCTGACTATAACATGATGATTGTAAAAAAACTCAGAAAACACTGAAAAGTACAATGATGAAAATTCAAGTTACCCGAATTCCCCCCATCCGGAGATAACCACTGATAACTACTGTATAAATAGACACATGAAAATAGGGATCATACTGGACACGTGCTTTTGTAGTTGATATACTCTGTTATTATTTTTGTACACATTTCAGAAGCAAATTTTTTTCTCACTCTTCTTGATAGGATGCCGTCCTCAACCAATCAGATACCATTATTCTTGGAGGTGAGAGGGAATTCACATCCTGGGCTAAATTAAGAAGCAACGGCTGATCACTTTGTGTATTCTATTTGTGAAATGGAACATGGTTCAGTAGAGAATACTATCAATAAAGACCATTACACTAATTTCCCTTAAGACTTGAGCGGGATTTGAGAGGTTAAAGGTCACTGCTTCTGCTAAGAAGCTATTTCGACAGATGGGACATTTTTTGGATCCACTCTACAGCTTTCCACATGCTCCAGATTCTCTGAATCATAACATGTCAGTGCAAACTGGCCAGCTTCCTGAGCTAGAAAAAGAAATCATCCTGCTACTTGCTCCTTGGCAATGAACTTTATGCATTTTTGCAGCAAAGTCCACTCACTCCTACAAATCGGCAGTGACTACTTCTCTCAGCAGATCGCTGACATGGTTTTAATGATGCTGTTTCAAAGCCGGCCAGAGGATGAAGGCCAAGTCCCTCAACTCTAATTAGGCATTTGAGGGAGTCCTTCTTTACATGTTCCTAGGAAATTTCCAAATCAGCCAAGAGAAAGAAATGTCACCCTTAGAGCCCCAGTCAATTTTGTAAAGGGCTAGGGGTACACAAAGAGAAGTTTTTTCTATGTACCTCTTAATAATGATTAAGTCTATGAGACACAGAAAAAAAATTTTTTTTTTTTTCTGGACAGTTAAAAAAGATGCAGCATGGGAGCCAATCGATATTATAAGCAAATGTGATACCACCTGGAACTGGGATGAGAAACCAGATGAGAACAGTGTAAGCTTGTTAAGCCTGGCACCTGGGCAGTACGTGTGTTTCTGTCTTCCTGATGGGGTTATTGATTTCTGGGCAGCAAATAGGTCTCCATATTTTCTTTCTTTCTTTAAGAAAGAAAATTATGGGAATTTTGATTATGACTTAAGTTTTTGTGGCTTGAGATCGATAACATGCTGCACTGAGAAATGAAATGGTTTCTGTGGGGGAAAGCTGCCAGGGCTGGGGGCGAGCCCTAGAAATGTTTCAGTTTTCCGTTTTAAGCTTCATTATATCTAAGTGATTTAAAAAAAAAAATCAAAAGTTCCTGTTAAACACTGGATGGGAGTATATATTGCAATCTGTAATCTTGTTATGAAGTTTTGTGACCTTAATGACTAAATTTGTATTGACTGCCTGGCAAGTCTGATCAACTATGGTGAAATGGGTTATTGAGTTGTTTATAAAAAAAATTTTAAGGAGAAAATATTGCTGACTCAGAGACTGATTGGCTAGACCCAAATTATGTAAACAGGCTAATGAGCTACTGGAAACAGACGAAAAGACTTCCATATTTTGGACATTTTTGTTGTATGTTTATAATGGATATATTGAGGGACTGGAAATGGTCTGGGCCACTTTGGTGAATGAGAAACAGGTTCCTCTTTTTAGAGGACAGAAATGCTGCAATGCCTTTTAAGAGGTATTGAAGCGTTAACCCAAGCCAACCTTTATTTTTAGTATAAAATGACTGTACTATCTAGGTATAACTTTTATAGAATAAAGGGCATTTTATTTTATTTATTTATTTTAAGATTTTATTTATTTATTTGACAGAGAGAAACACAGTGAGAGAGGGAACACAAGCAAGGGGAGCGGGAGAGGGAGAAGCAGGCTTCCCACTGAGGAGGGAACCTGATGTGGGCCTTGATGTGGGGCTCTATCCCAGGACCCTGGGATCATGACCTGAGCCAAAGGCAGATGCTTAATGACTGAGCCACCCAGGCGCCCCCAAAGGGCATTTTAAAACCAGCATTCAGCTCCATATTTTTATCCTAAGTAGAAAAAAAATGCTTTTTATTAATCTAGTTTAATACTTGTATAGAAAAAAAATGCAAATGTGTTTAAAGAATTACCTTGTCGTTATCTGATTACTATATACGTTAAATAACAGACTAATGTTTTTTTCTTCTTCTTCTTCCATTTTTGTCTAAGACAGATATTATTGTGGGGACGCTGTACTCAAATTAATTTTCTTGCCCACTGGTCACAGTGTCAAAGAAAATCTTCCACATTCAAATAGAAATCATAGGCAACTTTTTTCTTAAAAGGGTCTGTTTCCTATTTTCACTCGTAGGAAGCCTGTATTTGTGAAAAATAAAACATTTCTCTATAGGCATGTAACATCGCCCAGAGGCACAAAACTCAATAAGGGAAAGATAGTCATTAAACCTTTGAAATATGTAGTGGTGAGTGTTCGTGGAGGTTCTCATGCAAGTTATTCCTAACGTAACTCTCCAAGGACAATATTTCTTATCTACCAATTTGCTGTTTTCCCAGATAATAACATTATGATATCTAAGGTGTTAGTAAAATAAAATAAGGATGAGAGTTAAAAAAAAAAAAAAAAAAAGAAAGGAAAAAAAGTGCACCAGTCACCTCAGGGACTCAACAATGTCACTGGTGCTTCAGCCTAAGTACAGCGCAAGTTCAAAGAGGAAAACTTTTAAAACTGGACCCAAACCATATGGAATAACTCCTAATACAGAACAAGTATTACATTTCGGTGGGCTCCTTTATTCCAAAAGATAATAAATGAGTTATGAACCCAGAAAAGTCAAGGGACACTCTGCTGGGTTTATAGGATTTTATATTTTTAATTTGTTCTTAATGGAAATCACTGGTTCTTAAAATGTGGGCCTTGGGCCAGCAGCCCCAGCAGCAGAGCAACTCCTGGGAGCCTGTTGGAAAGGCAGATTCTCAGGACCACCCCAGACCTGTGGAATGAGAGACTCTGAGGGTGGGGCCAGGCTGACTGTGTTTTTTTGTTTTTAAATTCAATTTAGTTAACATATAGTGTATTATTAGTTTCAGGGGTAGAATTTAGGGATTCATCAGTCACATATAACACCCAGTGCTCGTCACATCACGTGCCCTCCTTAATGCCCATTCCCCAAATACCCCATCCCCCCACCCCCCACCCCATCCTCTCCAGCGACCCTCGGTTTGCACTTCCACAAGCTCTACTGGTGATTCTGATGCAGCTTAAGTTTGAGAACTGTGTCTAAAACAAGAATTATGCATGTAACAGTGACCATTTCTGCGCTCCCCTGCCTATGACCAAGTGCGAAGTAGAATTCTTCAAACAATATCAGCACTAATTTAGTGCACAGAACACCTGTGCACAGCTTCATTCCTTTTGTCCTTCGCCAGGGTCAAGTCCAAGTGTTCTGAAATGATACATGTGTTCCAGGGGTAGGAGGGTATTTCCTGTATTTTCACAGGCAATGCTTTCAGACTCTTTAAAACCACTACTCATGGCTCGTGATCCAGGATATACACGTGTGGGTTTATGACAGAAATAAAAGTTTCCCTTATTGTGATATACTTGGAAAATTGTTTTCTATTCTATTATTCTATTATTATGATTATTATTTTTAAAGATCTATTTATTTGACAGAGAGCAAAAGAGAGCGCACAAGCTGGGGGAGTGGGAGAGGGAGAAGCAGTCTCTCCCACATAGCAAGGAGCCTGATGCAGGGCTTGATCCCAGGACTCTGGGCTCATGACCTCAGCCGAAGGGAGATGCTTAACTGACTGAGCAGCCCAGGTGCCCCAGTATTCCATTTCCTTTAAAAAATGTTGGTTGTGACCCATTAACTTGTCTTTACAACCTACTATTATGTGTTGCAGCCCAAAGACTGAAAAATGCTACCCTACATCATGAATTTTTCACCCACTGTCCATTGAGCGGGTAGCACTTGTGCAAATGCTATGCAAAGTCTGTATATATTTACATATATGCATATTTATGTGCAAGGGGCTTTGCAGCCTCTGGCAGAGTCTCAAAGCCTTAGGTAACACTTGAGAAATTGGGACCTACGATCTAGGTCCCACGCAAAGGGCAAAGGATGGGAATTAGGATTTCCACTACTGGGTAGCCCCTAAAGCCCCCAAAAACTCCTGTGATAAGATTGGGAAGGGTCTTCAGCTCACCCTCTACCCCATACAAGACCTTCAGGGGCTCTCTTCATTGGAGATGGAAGGGATTGATATTTGAGTGGATTTTCTACTACATAAAAGAATGGCAACAGAGATCATACAATGTGCCCATTGCTACTGGGTCACGAGTCCGGATTTCTGCAAAGGGCAGCAGGATCAAGATAGTCAAACTCAAGGCCATGTGGGTCTTCTAGATTCAGCAGAAATTGGCGGCTGCTGCAGGCCAGATTTTTCCATGTCAGTCATTGGAAGTGAGGGCTTTGGCCCGCTGATGTGTTAGGATGAGCTAGAGGCATGTGGCACAGGGCTGTTCCTCCCATGCTCATTGAGATGATGATCCAGACATAGCCAAGGCTGACATGGAACCAACCAGGCACCAGTATGCCCTTATTGGCTCTTAAACTATTGAAATACTTCCCTATCTCTGGTAAAGAATAGCTGCCCCAGTCCTGCCCTTGCCCCCCCAGCCACTCTGACCCCTCCCGGGGCCAACCAGGACCTCTCTGTGACCCAGCCACCCAAAGGTCAACGCCCAGCACAGTAGAGGATTCCAAAAATGCATTCTGATCGATCGGTACCCTCAGTTTTCATATATTTTTAATGTTACCTGAACGCGAACCCAGCCCAGGAGGCCAGGCTCCTGGCTACACCTGGATTTACACGTCACGGCTGGAAGGTATAAAACGGAAGAGGGTTGCACTGGCCTCACCTTGGAACTGATTGACCTGCTGCACGGGGTATGGATTCCGCTGCTGCTGGAGGTGCTGGCGGGGTAAATGTGATTGCTGCAGCTGCTAGAACGACAGGACAATAAGGGCAGGGGGGTGACAAGGGGAGAGACAATGAAATATCGTGGCAGCTTGGAGGAGGCACTTTTTCAACACGAAACTTGGTGTTGAGGAATCAGGTGCATCCAGGCGGGTGCACAAAGCACGAGTTTGATGGATTTTCACAAAGCAAACACATTCCTGGTAACCGGCGTGTGGATCAAGAAACTGAACTCTGCTGGAAGCCCCGCGTGCCCCTTTCCAGTCATTACCGACCCCAGGGAACCACTTTATCCAGCCGGGAAGCACTCTCCTGACCTGACAACACAGACCAGTGATGTCTGCTTTCGTAGTTGGTGTAAGTGGATTTCTACGACGTCCTGGCATCCAGCTGTGGTGTCTGGCTTCCCGCATTCATCATTCTACTTACGAGACTCATCCATGTTGGTGCGTGTAGCTGTGGTCAGGTCACCGTCACCGTTGAATATTATTCCATTGCAGGAATGACGAGACCACGACTTATTCACCTATTTTCCTAGTGATGATCTTTTAGAGTGTTTTCAGTTTTGGGCTGTCCCCAATATGCTTCTAGGAACATCCTCGCCCATGTCTTTTGGTGAACATCTGGCAGATCTGCTGATCCAGGAGGAGGCGGTTTTGACTCTGACCATCTACCACCTGCCTGCATGTTTTCCTTAGCATTGCGGGACCCAGCTCGAGGGACAAGCAACTAATTTTTAATGACCTAAATAGATGCTTCTGGCACAGGAAGTTGGGATTCTCAGGGGCTATATAAACAAGGCTCATCTCGTTCCCACGGGGCCACACTGCCTGTAAGACACTTCCCCGCAAGTTAAATACACAGCATTTAGTGCCTTAAGGAAACCGCGCGGGACTCCCTGGGTACCAGGAGCCGGGAGGCTGCCCACCCCGTCCCTCTTCCTCCACCCCTTGGGGATTCCGCCCTGCCCGCACTGTTACCAATCTACTGGAAAGGCTATTAGGATCATTACCATGCTGTATGCGAAAAGGGAAAGAAACCAAGAGCGAGGTGGCAAGAGCAGAGAAAGGGGTTTGAGTTCCCCGTCTGCTGTCAAGTAGCTGCGTGACCTTCGGCAAGTCATTACCTCCTCCTGCCCCCGTTGAATATTCATGGGGCACCTTCCACGGCGAGGGCTTATAAAGGACACACATCAAGGGCCGTGCTCTTTCAAGTGTTCATTATAAAAATAACACACATTGACCACTTCTTAACATGTGTGTTTATTTCTATTTTTTCCTCTTGTTTTTGTTTCTGGGCAGCTCTATAATTTTCTTTCTCTTTCTTCTTCTCTTTTCTCTTTCTTGACAAGACCAGCCAGCACTCTGGCAACCAAAGAAAAGGAAAGCTTCTGCCCTGCTCACCCCATCCTGTGATGCCTACCAGGGTGTTTTGCACAAAGTGTTGAAATTAATTAATTGTGTAGATGAAATGTAGACAAGAAACCGGGCTAATCTTTAAGGCAGCAATAGAAGGGCATTATTGAGAGTAAACTGAGCACTTAAAAGCTTCTCCTCGGCCAAACTTCTCATATTATGTAAGAATTTAAGTGTCCTGGTGCCGAACAAGCCCGGGGTGGCCTGGGGTGCGGTGGGGGTAGGGCTTCTGTTCTAGTCCCTGCCTCTCTAGCTCTGCCATGACTTCTTCCATGAGCTCCCTGGCCTCAGTTTCCCCACAGGTAAAAAACAAAAGCCATCCTAATCACCAGTATTTTTTTCAGGTCTAAAAGTCTAGGTTCTGTGAAGCCTTTGTGAACGGAAGAGAGGTGACCTGCTCCTTGCTCTTCGAGAATAAGGGATTAAACGTTAACTCACACCTGCTCTCAACCTGCTCTGCTCTGATTCTTAAATCCACTAGAATCATTTTAAAGTTCCCAAAGATAGGCATGATCCCAAATCCTTCTGTTTTTCCCCTCACATGTCCCTTCAGGAAATCCCAGGATCTCTAATACTCTGCTTTCAGGACTGAAATACTCAGGACACTTTCACTGCTGTGGCAGAGCCCCAGAAAGTCAGCTGGGCATGGACAGGGCAGTATTCATTCTCAAAACAAAAAGCTGAGAGCTCAGCACTTGTCGACCCCTCGGAGGCCTGCACGGATCAGCACCCTCTCCGGGACTTGTTTCTATGCATGCTCCTGGCCTCGCATCTGGATTAGTCCCACTGGAGGGCTCGCACCTGGGGCCGCAGCCCTCAGGTCAAGTTCCGTGACACCAGGGTCATGTGACTGCCCCCCCCCCACGTGCACAGTTTCCAAAGGCTTTTACATGCTTGATTCCATGTGATCCCTAAAGCAGTTACAGGAGAAAGGCTGGGAGATTATTAACCCTAAGCTGGCAGAGGAAGAGAGGGGAGGAAAGGTTTTTCCAAAATGACACCACAAGCAAAAGATGGGCCACATTTTGAGTCTGAGTAAAACTGTCCTTTCCTTGGTCCCTCTTCATGGCTTGGTTTCCACAATGTGCTAAGGAATCACACGCATTCCCCCATCTTTTCCAAGGGGCCTGTATCTCTGTGTGTCCTGGGTTCTGAGGGGTGCCCTGTTCTCTCGGTGCCTCGCCTGGCCAGCCTCCTGTGGCAGCTCTTCTTCTTCCACTCTTTTGCCTCCCTCCTTGTTCCCTGAGGTGTGGCTGCCCTCGCCGAGTGGGACACCCCTGGCTGGCCCAGCGGCATTCTCTCCGGTTACCCCGGCTCCGATCTGTGCCTTGGTCACGGCATACACATCAAAGGCCATCGCTCCAAGTAGCAGGTGCACCTGAAATTTCCTGGGATTGGCTGAGGAGAGGATTTACACAGCCCAGCTTCCCCTCGGCAGCTCCATTTATCACTGCCTGAGAGATATTAGCATGGTTCCTTGTCACACACCTTATGCAGGGTGAGAGGGATAGAGGTTTGTTTGTACAAGAGCTGCCAGGCGGCTGACTGACCTTGGTAAAAAGAGAGATAATTACACAGCTGCTCAGGAACAAAAGCAGAGAAGGGAACATAAGTGAACTGTGCTCAACAGTACAATTTTTCTATTTGGGGGATGACTGGTGTTACTCTGAACCGCTGCTCTTAGTAGGGACCTCAACATGTCTGCGTCCCACACAGCACTGATGTGAAAGATGCTTGATAAAATCCCAAAATTTTGATTGTATTAGGAACATTCTGGAAGGAGAACTGTGAGGTGAGAGCCCCTTTGGGCTCTAAGCCTCATATGACAACCTCACACCTACCTCCACTAATCAGAGAGAGCTGCCCTGGATAGACCCCCCAGGAGCCAGCTAAGGATCTCTTTTGGAAGGCCTCAGGCCTTTCCTGGGATAATACTGAATCAGGCATGGGCATCTTGAAAAACAAAACACACTGAAACCTACAGGAGCTGCTCACTTTCAGGGAAGGCTTTCTTTCAAAGCTGGAGGAATTATATGGCAAGGGTGGACAAAGATACCCAAGGTAAGGCTTTATTTGTGTTAGCCCTTCCTTTAACTCAAAGATTTCTTCAGCTGTTTTAAAGCTGTTGGGAATTTTCTTAAGTTTGCACCCTTTCTGTGACCCTGAGTTCAGGTTTCCAGGTAGTTCTGTGGGCCCTATTCTTCTTCTATTGTTCCTGTCCCATTGTTCATGACCAATTCTGTAGAATTCTCCTCAATCCCTCCTCCTGACATTTTCCTTCAAGAAACAAAGTTCTCTGAGTTATTTTCTTTTTCTCTTCATGTTAGAAATATTAGCGTTTATGAAGAATGTGAGGCAGCCTCCCAGCCCCCACTCTGATGGTGCAGACCCCGTACCAGACACCGGAAAAAAAGGAGTCAGGCTTGAATCGAAAGAAATGTCTTTGGCAAATGGGCCTTCAAATTGATGGCTGAAGCCTGTCTTTTAAGAACAAACTCATTCATTCTAAGAAAAAGCCTAACTAATTGAAAGGTCTAAATTCTGCAGGTTCTCCTGTGATCCTGGAAAATGCTGGACTGTGACTACCTTGACGAAGGAGGGGAACTGGAACTCTCCTGCAGACACCAGGCACTGAATAAAGGCATCATGTTACCTGCTCGGCCAGAATCTGCTGCTGCTGCTGCTGCTGTTGCTGCTGCTGCCTTTGCTCCCGCAGGAACTGTTGCTTCTGTTGCTCCATCAGCTGGGCCCGCTGATCCATGAGCATCTGCTTCATGATGGCTGCTTGGGGCTGGCTGCCAAGGAAGCCGGGACCCGCGGCACTGGCTCCGGACACCATGCCGCTAGAGCCTGGGGCCACCGAGGACTGCATGGGGCCTGTGGTCCGGGGGAGTCCAACTGGGTGCTGCTCCTGGGAGGACAGGAAGATGAGAGAAAGCACAGATTTCATATTTGAAAGGAAGCATGGGGCAGAGGCCTCTGCTTGTGGACCCGAGGGGTCTCCAGTGGCACACATTCTATTCCACAGAAACACAGGAATCCTTAAATCTGGCCTTACCATGGTGGAACTGGAGAGGTGCCGGGAGACAGTAATACAGGACGGCTCTGGGGTGTCTGAGAGCAAGTCCAGTCTCTTTTGGATGGGACTGATTAAAGGACAAAGGCCAGGTAATCAGTTAGCATTCTGCTTTCCTCCAAAGGAAAGGGATGAAGACCTCAGGCTGGGCTCACCTTGAGTCTGGAATGAGATAGCCTGACCTTAGCTCCTTTTTTTTTTTTTAAGATTTTATTTATTTGACAGACAGAGATCATAAGAAGGCAGAGCAGCAGGCAGAGAGAGAGGGGGAAAGCAGGCTCCTTGCTGAGCAGAGCCCAATGTGGGGCTCGATCCCAGGACCCTGAGATCATGACCCGGGCCCAAGGCAGAGGCTTAATGCACTGAGCCACCCAGGCACCCCCTGACCTTACCTCCTAACCTTCACTGCTCACCTGGCCTAAATGGACTTCTTCTAAGTTAGCAGGAAAAACATTTACAGAAGAATTCTGGAATTTATTAATCAAAAGATCTACTATTAGATGGAATTCTAATTAATTGCAACACTAGAAAGCTTTGCTATATGTAAAAAAAAAAAAAATCCTGCTAGTGGGAGTTGTTGATGGTGAGAACTGGGAATGTGTTACACTGAACAAAGCTACGCAATCTCCCGACATCTTTCAAAATAGAACCAAGCCTCCTATGTCTGGGACAACTTAAAATGTGGGGGTTGATTTGGGTCTTTTGATTCTACAATTGTCTCAGTCAAACGATGGCAACTTGTAAGGATTGGTTCTTAAGGAGTAGGAAGTTAAGTGGTAGAAAACTACCCACAGAATCTAGTGACTACTTAGAAGATGTGTTCAGAGGGGAAGCCCGTAACAGCCAGACAGTGTAGACCAGGGAAAAATAGCTGATGGGCAGAGTTGGTAGGTGACCATAAGATTCGGCTTCTAGATAGTTCCTTTCTTGTTCATCTACCAAGTGCACCTGATAATGGCATGTATGGTCAGACTACTCTGCAGAAATGTTCCTTTTAACTCATTCAAGTTTCAAGTAATCTCAACACAGAGGATCTGATGTCTGAGATGAACACAAATTAAATGGGCACACATGTAAGGACATACCCAGTCACAGGGTGCAGGACCATCACGAGGCCAAAATAGTAAGAAATGAATACGAATAACTCTATAGTTATTTAAATATTTTTGTCTCCAAACTGGGTTTTAATATTTTTTCCTACTTCTGCTTTGCTCTTTGGTACAGATACAGTCAATCAGGCTGGCACTGTCCTCTCAAAACATACAGTTGAGTTTGATCTCTGACTTTCCTACAGACCCAGTCCCGGATTAGATTCCCCACAGCCTGGGCTGGTGGACCTCCCTTCTGTGGTGTGGTGTTCAGCCACTCGTGCTTCTCTTTCCAGTAGCGACATATGTTAACCACATCTTCGGCTGCTCTTCCTCTCGCCCTCCACTGACACAAACGACACAAGCAAAACGAAAAAACCATTACTCCTCTCAGCCTGGGAACAAGAGGCCAAGAAGTCCTGGGGAGTTTGTGCGGTAGCCCAGGTCACACTTAGCCGAAGGAAGAATTGGAAAGAACAGAATCAGAACACTGACCTGGGGTCTAAATTTAGTATTCCTTCTACTAGCACAGGCCCTTCCCAGACTGCAGGTCACTGGTGCCAAGTGTATGCCCAAGAATTGCTTGCAGACTAAATATACAGTATGTCTCCTACAAGTGTACTGTGTTCTATTTTTCAAATGTGTTGTTGCAAAACCCTTTTTGTCTTTGTATATTTTCTCGGTAGTCAATTATTAGGTAGACAGCTGTGAAATATTTATGTGAAAAAGAACTTACACTGAAAAATGCCAAGAACCTTTATGCTACCACAAAGTTACCTTTAGTCCTGACCCCTGAAGGCCATCAAGATATTTCAGAGTCTCCCCCTTTCCCCCCAGTATTTGCTTCCTGTTTCCAAGTTGTTTCTTCCAATGGGATAAAGCTGCTTCTTGCCACCTTTAGAAACAAATGGCTGATTTAACACTTTAACAAACGAACTCACACTAAAGTAGAAACAGCTAATCAATCAGCAAAAATACAGAATACAGGGTTTTGTTTGTCCCCCTCCCAACCCCGTGTATATTTCAGTATATTTGATATTTTCAAATTTTGATAAGGAGGAGAAAGCTAGAAAAAAAAAATGTGACCCAAGGGAAGATAAAGTTTGCTTCAGCTGGTTTTAGGACAGGGCTGGTCTGGGCTGGCCCTGTTTATCTTTGGGCACTTTGAGATATTCTCTTCCTGGGTGAGCAGGCCTGGGTAGCTGGGGCACATGCTCAGAACTGGTAAGTAGTCACCAGTTGCTTTCCTGGCCTTTTCTCCACCCTGGAAGTAAGGGAGAGGCAAATGAGATGGTGATGTAGATACACCCAGCCACTTTTGGCCCCTGTCTTCCTGGGGGAAAAGAAATACTTCAAAAGCACAGTGGGGACAAAAAAAAAGAGAAAAAAAAAAAAAAAAAGAAAAGAAAACTCCCCAAAGAGAGAGTTAGGGTATTACTTCCCAGGATAATGCATTTCTCCAAATGATTCCCTCCCAAAGGCTTTGCCTTGGGGTTTCTTGCAGAAGACCTATAGACCTAGGGACGGGAGGGCCATGTGCATTTTCAAGGCTTGCCTTCCCTATGAAACATCAAACATGGGTGAATCTAGGTTTTTCTCAACAAGCTCTAATGCATTCAGCAGCGGGTGAGTGACACCTAGAGCCCCAGCCTCAAGTGTGTATTCCAAAATGTGAGGCTTGCCTTACAAATGGAGCTGGCTGAGGCCATTAACTGTTTCATATTACATGGCAGCTTTTAACCTCCAGTCTAAGAGGGCTTAATGAGCAATAGTCTGTCGAATTTCAGGATTTCAGGCCACCGCTCTTGTTTCTAAGGAGGACACACACTGCGTGTGCAATTAGAGAAAACCAGGCTGGGCTTTCGTCAGAGAAATGTAATGCCTTGAAGCCAAATGATGCAGTATTTTTAGTTTTAATTACCGGCTTGTTCTCCACCCCGCCCCCTGCCCAGCGACCTCCCTTGCCTTGCCAGTAGCTTCCCCTCAGAAATGCAATTGGCTACGTAGACCCTCATTACCCCCCAAACCTTCGCACTCTTCAGTAAGAGAAAGGGAGGGGGAACAAACCAGAAGCAATGAACCCATTTTACCTAGCTTCTTCTCCAGGGAAAAGATCTTAGCGATTTTTCTAAGGGCTGGAGAGAGGTAGGAGGTGTAAAAAACGCCCTGCCTCCTCCGAAGAGGCAGTTTTCTACTTCAAAAAAACAGCTGTGGTAAAAATATCTCCCCAGAGCAGCCAGCTGTTTATTTATAAATCTGTGCGTGGCGAAGCTTCATTTCTCTTAAGTGTTTTCAAGAACAAGCGTAGTGTTTGGGTGAGAGGGGCCGGGGTGGCTGGCGGCCAACCCAAAGAGCGCCGGCTCCGGGCAGGGGGCTCACGAAAGGCTGCCCGTAGAGACGGGGGCCGTGGGGCCGGGACTTGGGGGCGCGCGGGGACCTCGAGGACGACCCGGCTTCAGCCTTTTCCAGGCGGTCCTCGTCGGAGGAACAAGGAGCAGCTGCTGTTCTCCGCCTGCCCCAGCAGATGGTGGTGTCAGCCCGGCGCTCCGCCTGGCAGCCCCAGCTCCGCCCGCGCGGCGCTCCCCCCACCCCCACCCCCCAGATGGCTTAATCAGGACTCCAGTTCCTTCCCCCCACCCCCCGCCCCGCCCCCCGGCCCCCGCCCCGCGCGTCTGGGCGGACGCGGCGAACGTGGAGCCAGGCAGTCAAGTGTTACTGCGTACAGCAGGTAGCCTGGCAACTGAGAGCATAATACCGAGCAGATGGTGTTCGCACGGCGTGATGGACATCACACACGACAGCCTGAGACAATCCAGGAATTCCCTGGTGACTCGAGGCCCTCTTTACACAAAATGAGTTCTCTCTCCATTGCCGTGTATCTCTGGGGTTATCGCCCCCCTCTCTCCGACTGACACCGAACTGGTTTCTTATTACCGACTTTCCTTGCAGCCCGAGGGGAGGGAGCTTTCAGGTCGGGGTGGGGAGGCCGGAGAAGGAAACGGAAGGGCTGGGAGCGGGAGGAGATGGGGGTGGGGGTGGGGGTGCGGTGGCGCCCGGAGAGGGGAGGGCGAGTGGCGTACACCAGCCCCCCGGGCTGACCGTCCGAGAGGGGCAGAGATCTCCGCAGCCCAGGCTGCACAAAGCCGGCGCGGGCTCAGAGTCTTTGCAATCACATGGCCTACGAACAGCCTAAATGAAATTTAGGATTTTACTTAAAAAGTCCCCTGGGGCGTAATTTAGCCTCTTGACTCGATCCTGTATGCTTACAAGTCCTTAGGGGGCTCTAAGAAGTCAGGAGCAGGGCGGCAGGCCCGAAGATACCTCTCAGCGCAGGCGTCTCTAACAAAGAAACCGACGAGGCGGTCCCGGGGCGCGGGCGAGTCGCACGGGGGCCGCGGAGGCCCTCGGCCGGCGCGCGCTGCTGCTGAGCGGGTGAGCCGGGCGCGCTCCGGGGGCGCATTGCCCGGGTTCCCCGCACACTGTGCGTGCCGGGGCCAGGAAGGAAATGGGTGCGGAGGGCAGGCGAGGAGAGAGGAGGGTTGTTCATGTAGGAAAAAGTAAAAATAATAAAATGGATGTCCCAGAAAACAAATGTTTGCTTTTCACACACACTGAACTGGATCAAGTAATCAAAAAAAAAAAAAAAAAAAAAAAAAAAAAATCTCCAGCCCAAACGGAATTCTGCCTAGATTCTATATATCAAGAGGCTCCTATGTCCAACCCGTCACCAGTATCTAGAGGCTTTTT